CCCTCCCGCCACGAAGATCCTCCCTTGTCCGACCGTCCCTTCCGAGCCCACCCGGCGTCCGAGGAGGGGGTTAGCCCTGTGGAGCCCTCCCGACGCCGATCCGACGGGGACCCCTCCAGCCCTGTGCGCTGTGGGCTGGCGAGCCCTCTCCGGTCGGAGGGGTGGAAGTGGGAGGGCTCGAAGACTGACCTCTCTCGGTCCGGGAGGGTGGAGGGGTGGAAGGTGGAGGGGTGGAGGGGTGGTTGAGCCCTCTTATGATGTATCTTATTCGGACCCCCCCCTTGGCGGCTTGTGATTTTCGTGCGAAGACAGCGAGATCTCGGCCCGCGTCCTCCGCTCGCGCCGGCCGCCCATGCGCTCGCGGGGCTCCCCGACGGCGCTGGCCTCTTGCCGATGGACCCAGCCGAGGTGCCCGACCAGTCGGAGTGGCGCTGACGCGCCGCGCGCGACCACCAGCCAGCTCTTCAGCGCGGTCGAGGACGGTGCGTCGAAAGAGTAGACACTCCAAACAGTTGCCGAGTTTTTTCCCTCTTTTTGAGCGCCGCTGCTGCACACCCAGCCCACCAGTGATACTAGAAGCACCAGATTCACCCCGTCGCGAGCTTGACCGCGACCCCGATGACCGCCCACAGGTGGCTGATCGCGGCCGCCGCCCACGCTGCTTTTCGGCGCCTGGCTCTCAGAGGGCCCCTGCGGCTCTCGCTCGTCGCGCGACCGCCGCCGACATCATGTGCTTGGTCGTCCCCGCCGGCACGGAGCTGCGCCACGTCGAATTGTTCGGCGGCTCGACCGCCGGCGCGCCCACCCTCGCCTCCTGCGCGCCTCACACCCAGAATTCTCCTCGCGCGCGGCCGACAAAGTAGGCACACGACCACCTCCCTCCCACTCACCCCCCCCACGATGCACAGCCCGTCCACTCTCGCCGGCAAGGCGCACGGAACGCCCAATTTGGGCTGGAAATGCCGCCGCCACGGGTTGGTGGCGCCCTCGGCAGCGGGGCAGCGCCACACCGCGCAAACTTGCGCGACAAAAATGCGACCTCTGTCCCTCGTATTCACCCCAGATTTTGCCCTATCCAGGCTCACCCGGTACCGCGAGCGGCGAGCCGCGCCAAGTTTGCTCCATTTGCGACAAGTTCATCCCGCCCGAACGCCGATCTTCGGCCGCCTGGAGGCCCAGGACGGGGCTCGGGACCGGCCAGGTGTGGATTCTCCTCGGCGCTGCGGTGTATCTGCGCGCCCATGGCGCGTTCAGGGGTGCGCCTGAGGTGTGTAGACTGCGGGGCGCCGCGATAGCGCGGCGCCGACGATTGTGTCAGCTCACTGTCACACCGTCGACACGGTCACAGTGTGTGTGCAGTGCGTCCACTCCGGCGACCGTGAGGCCGCCGGTGCTCGCCTATACCGGCCAGTGTGGAGCCCTCAGTGTAGTTGCGTGTTGTACTAGTGATGCTGCACTAGGCGGCCCGTTTTTAGCAAAAACCAGATACCAAATCGCGTGTGGTCGTCGAAAAACCGCATCTTCGCCCGTCTGGGACCTCTTCGTACGGCTCCAAAAACCGCTCCTTAACGACGGCTACGCGGCCCGGCGGTCGATCTGCGCCTTCTCAGCGGTGGAGGGGATGTGGGCGGTACGTGCGTACCGCGTGGTGTTGCGACGGTTTGACGATTGCGACTCCCAGCGTCGAGTTTTCGACCCCACGGAGCCTCTGCTGCTCCGGGGGGGGGGGTCTGCAGACCACCCGGCCGAACTTCAGAGTGGCGGTGCTCCTCAAATACCGCTCAAACGCCCACGATGTTGTGGAGGGGACATATGCTGATGATCCTGGCCCGATTGGTTCGCTCAGAAAGCTTCTGGGCGGTCGCTAAGGTTCGCTCCCCGCACACGGGCCCCGGAATAAGATACATCATACTCTAGCTCTGTCGATATAGCCCTACCCCTCCCGCCGATTTAGGGCCTACCCACCCGCTATGCAGTGCGCAAACGCGACGCACTCGTTGCACGACTCGCCTCGGGCATCTGGATCGACTCAATGTCGCAACCGCAAACATCTGCCTCTGGCTCTGGCTCACAGCATTCATACTCGAAGTAGGTCACGCCCAGGAACGTCACGGGATCTCCAACATTTCGAGGTGCGCCGCGGGAGAAGCCGCACTGCTCTCCGAGTCCCGGGACTGCGAAGCAGTCCGTCCCCTGCGCACCGTCCGTCCAGACGCCGTTCGGGCTCGTGCACCTATTAGGCGTGAGAGATTAGCGAAAATTCTGCGGGAATCGTGGGCAAGTGCGTCTGTTCACAGCTGGGGTGCAAGACGTTGATGGCGGCTCGCGTTGAGAAGCCGTCCAAATCAGTATGCTCGCAAAATGCCTCTTCGCATGTTGAGGTACTTCTTCGGCGGGCCGGAGAAGCCACCTCCTCCGCCTATTGACCCAAAGCCTTGGGACGGCTTCCACCAACTCGTCGAGGTGCCAGACGGCACGACACAAATTCCCCGCAACGCCTTTTACGCCAAGTCGTGCCTGCAACGAGTCACACTCCCGAACTCGCTCGTCTATGTTAGCCAAGGCAGCTTCATGAACTGCAGCGGGCTCCTGTCGATTGTCATTCCTGCCGGCTGCTCTGTCGAGCAGTACGCCTTCCAGAATTGCGGCGTCAGGTCCGTACTCCTTCCCGCCGGCCTCAAGGAGATCAGACAAGGCACGTTCGTCGGATGTAAGAGACTCCGGGACATCAACATTCCCGCCAGTGTGGAGCGCATCCACCGGACCGCCTTCCTCTGGTGCGCGCGCGTGTCTCAAATTCCATATGACACGTCTGTCTCTCCTCCTCAATACCAACGCACTCGACTCCAGGTGCCACGACCTGAACCACATCCGCCTTCCCGACGGCCTCATCAGCATCGGAAGATCGGCCTTCTCCCACAACAGCTCCCTCGCGTCCATCACCTTCCCCGCCAGCCTCACGCTGATCGAGCACAGCGCCTTCTCGAGCTGCAGCGCCCTCAAGCAGGTCGTCGTCCCGACCACCACAGAGATTGCGGACCGCGCCTTCCATCCGTGCACCAGGATCGTCCGCCTCCCACCCGCACGGATGCGCGCGCGGCAGAACTGGCACGCGGCGGTCGACGCGGCGCTCGCCTACAAGCGCTGCCGCCCTCAGCTCTACGGCTGGCTCGAGCGGGCGCAGAACCGGCTCGGGTCCTATGGCCCCGACGGCGCGGCGCGCAAGCGCGACCGCGAGGAGTTTGAGCGCGACCGGCTGCTCTCCCCGTTCGTCACGCGGGCAAGCTCGAGTGAGGAGCATGCTGGCCAAGGGTCGCTAATACGAGCTGCAAGTGCCTCTTCAAGTGGCCTCGTTCCTCGGCCCTCGGTCCGCTTCGCCGCCGGACTCGACGTCGTCGTACGAAACGAGCTACGCGGGGGGGCCGCAGACTCACTTGGAGTGGAGCCTCTACGACGAGAGCGCCGCCCCTCTCGGACAGTTCACCCTCGCCTGCGCGCCTTTGGGGTGGGTGGGTCATTAGGAATGGTCTGTCGGGGCCATCTAGGGGGGGTTTGACGTGGTGACGCCGTCGCTAAGTTGGAGTGCATGTCTGGTGTTTACTAGCTCCGAGTAGAGGGGGCGTTCTGCTGCTAGGGGAAACCCGGAGCGCGGTACTAGCCCCTGACTCTGTCTCTGAGCCGCTGCGCAGTCGGCCTAGTTTGTTTTGTGTTTATTAGCCAAACTGTTAGCCGTCACCCATGTTTGCCCTCGCCCCTCCGTCACGCTGCCTCCTGCTCCTGAGCGGCCGCACATTGCTCGGTAGAGCCGTATACCCCCCCTGCCCTTCTATGTTCTAAAGTCATCCCTGCTGCTAGGGGGGGGGGTCTGACCCCCCCAGCAGCAGAGCGCTGCTGCTGGGGGGGGGGGTCCCGACCCCCCCAGCAGCAGAAGGCATTGGACCCAGCTCTCCCGACTCTTCGCCGCAGCCGCCCCCTCCCACCTCGGCTCGTGTTTTAGCGGTACGCTCGAGGCGGTCGGTTGTGTTCACCGCGCCTTCGAGCCCAATACGCCCTTCGTCGTGTCGAGTGCTTGCGTTTTACTAAAGACTTGTGAATGTGACCATGTGAGTCTATCTTGTACTACCACACTAAAAGCCGTATAGTGAGCCACTCACTCGGGCGTCTCGGCTGACGTTGATCGATCAGCGTTGATCTCCCTAGCCTATCGGTCCCCCGGCGCTCGATCCTCGGATCGCTCGCTCGTCGAAATCGATCGACTGAATCGTAGTACTCTCCGCTGTGCCACGGCGTATGGGCTGCGAGAGCAATACTCCTTGTACCTTGAAGCAGAGGCGCCGCGAGGCACGAGAGGAGAAGAAGAGAGACTGGCGTGCCCCGCGCCCGGCTGGCAGCTGGCTGGCAGTAGGAGGGTACGCCGGTGAGACCACTGCGACCATAAATTCTCGCCACTGGAACGCTAACCGTACTTACTTACAGCTGCTGTCTGTACAGAGATGCCAGCACCCCCCACAGGCAGAGCGCTGCTGCTGGGGGGGGGGGGTCCCGACCCCCCCAGCAGCAGAGCGCTGCTGCTGGGGGGGGGGGGTCCCGGCAGCAAAACGCTGCTGCTGGGGGGGGGGGGGGGGCCGCCCTTAATTTTAAAAGGGAGGGGGGGGACCCAGAAAAGTGGGGCCCCTCCCTGGGAGGGTCCCCTCTTTGAACCTCTCCCCTTTCGGGGCTCGGGGGGGGGTGGTTTTCTTTTTCCCCACTTTTCGGGGGTTTTACTCCCCCCCAGGCTCAGCCCTACACCTGGCCGCATTCTACATTCCTCGCTTTCGCAGCCCGCTTTTTGCGCACATGCCGCGGCATGGTCCCCTTTGGAGGCCACAAAAGAAATTGCCAATTTTTGGCCCCCCAGCCTGCCTCCCCACACATCCCACACAAGTCACAACCCCCCCCCCCCCTTCTGGTTCTGCATTCACTTCCTACATACGTATTTTACTTTCTGAAACTCAGTAACTTCTCAACCCGTCCCTCTAACACACGAACACCTGACCTCCCCCCCACAGAGCTCGCACCTCAGCCTCGCGCTCGCAGTGCTGGCGCGCGTCGAAGCCTGGCTTGCGCCGTCGCTCGGGGCGTCGGCGCTCGCACTCACCAGCGGCGACTGCCCCCGCCCCCGCCGCCGCGGTAGGCTCCGCCGCCGCCGCCGCCGCCTCCGTACCGGCTGGGGCGCCTGCCACGCCCTCGCCCGCCGCCGCCGCCGCGGCGCCCGCGGCCGCCTCCCTTCCTGAGTGGCGCCATGTCGGCGAGCCACTCTGGCGCCTAAGGTAAGGTACAAGGAAGGTAAACGTCTCCACACACAAGGTGGTGGGGAAGAGCCGGGCTAGCCCTCGCGACTTCCCGTCCCGAGACAGGAGCTGGCGCGGTTTGAAAGTGCAAGGCCCAGTGCGCGTGGGTGAGCAGTGTGCGAGCGTGCGTGCGTGCGTGCGTGCGTGCGTGCGTGCGTGCGTGCGTGCGTGCGCGTGCGTGCGTGCGTGCGTGGGCGACCCTCGCCTCCTGCTTGGAGGTGGTGAGCGTGTGGAGCAAGTCGCGCGCGATGTTGCGGTTGGCCGCGTTGAGCATGGTGGTGGCGAGGCCGGTGTTGCCCGCGCGGCCCGTGCGGCCTGTGGGACATGTCTCGGACACGTCAAGGACGTGTCCTGGAAGTGTCTCGCAGCAGCCGGTGCACCACCTGGTCCGCATACCGCCGGATCGGCGAGGTGAAGTGTCTAGGACGTGTCTAGGAAGTGTCTAGGAAGTGTCGAGGACGCTTCACCGATCCGGTGCGTGTAGTCCTCAATGTCGTCGGGCGCGTCGTAGTTGATGACGTGCGTCACCTCGGGCACGTCGATGCCGCGGCCGAGCACGTCCGTGCCGACGAGGACGTTGATCCGCCCCGACTTGAAGTCTCCGAGGGCGCGCTCTCTCGCGCGCTGGTCCTGCGGAGGGGCGAGCGGTGGGGCATGGTGAGGGAGGGGAGAGGGCGAGGGAGGAGGGGAGACAGGGGTGGGGAGGGGGCAGGGCGGTGGGGAGGGGGCAGGGCGGTGGGGAGGGGGCAGGGCGGTGGGGAGGGGGCAGGGCGGTGGGGAGGGGGCGGGGTGGTGGGGAGGGGGCAGGGTGGTGGGCAGAGTCGGGCGAGGGAGGGGACGGAGACGGCGAGAGAGGGAGGTTGTGAGAAGAGGGCGGAGCGGTCCTTGTCGCCGTGCACCGACGCCGCGGGGTGGCCGCACGCGCTCAGCTCGGCCTCAAGTGTGTCGGCGGCGCGCTTCGTATTGACGAAGACGATGGTCTTGCCGGGCACCGCCTGCAGCAGCTCGACCGTCTCGTCCGTCTTGTCGCGGCCCGCAACGAAGACGACCTTTTGGGTGACGGAGAGCGCCGCGCCGCCCACGCGGCCGACCTTGAGCATCAGCGGGTCGACAAGGAAGGAGTTTGCGATGCCGCGCACGGCCTTCGGGAAGGTTGCGGAGAACATAACCGTCTGCCGCCCTGCCGCCTCGCCCTCCGCCTCGCCCTCCTCCTCGCCATAATAGCCCCCGCCGCCCTCACCGCCCTCGCCGCCCTCGCCGCCTCCGCCGCCGTGCCGGCGACGCCCAGCCGGCATATCGGCCTCCTCGACGATTGAGCGGATCTGCGGCTCGAACCCCATGTCGAGCATCCGGTCGGCCTGACAGAGGCCGAGATAGAGATCGGGCGTTTGTTGTGCCGGTGTTGTCGGTGTGTGCGATGTCAAAGCACTGGACTGTCACGTAGAGCCTGTGTGGTGGTGTGTGCGTGCCACAAGAGAGAGAGAGAGAGAGGGAGAGAGAGAGGGAGGGAGAGGGTGTTCATTCGTTGCCCGCTCAACCCGGGAAGGAAGGAGGGAGACTGGGCCCCTCTCATGCCGCCCGGCGCCGCCTCGTCGAGGACCAGAAGTGTCTCGGAAGTGTCTCGGAGGTGTCTCGGAAGTGTCTCGGAGGTGTCTCGGAAGTGTCTCGGAAGTGTCTCCGAGGTGTCTCGGACGTGTCTCCGAGGTGTCTCGGAAGAGTCTCGGACGAGTCTCGGAAGAGTCTCGCGCCTCGTCGAGGACCAGAAACTGCACGGCGCGCAGCGAGACGCGGCCCCGCTGCACCATGTCGTTGATCCGGCCGGGCGTCGCGACGAGGATGTCGCAGCCGCGCTCGAGCTCGCGCATCTGCGCACCTACGTCCCCTCGCCGGACCGGCCGTGATCTCGCGTGATCTCGGCAGATCTCGCCCTCGAGCTCGGCGCATCTGCGCACCGAAGGGCGTCCCGCCGTACGCCACGCAGACGCGCAGGCCGGTGCGGAAGGCAAACTTCTCCGCCTCGGCGTGAATCTGCTGGGCGAGCTCGCGGGTCGGCGCCAAGACCAGGGCGCGGATAGCGACCGGCTCCCCCCTGCCGCGGCGGTACGCGCCGCCGTACCCGCGCGTCCCCTTCCGACTGCCGCTCTGCAGCAGCCGCTTGAGGATCGGGAGCATGAAGGCGAGCGTCTTGCCTGCTCACAGCGGAGAGGTGTGAAGAGGGGGGGGGAGGGGGGGGAGAGCATGGAGGCGGAGTCGTCTCGCCGGAGCCGGTCTGCGCCACCGAAATGACGTCCCCGCCCGCGAGAGCCACCGGCACAGAGTGCGCCTGCACCGGCGTCGGCACCTCAAAGCCGGCGAGGCGAAGGTTGCGCTGCAGGACGCGGCCGCACTCGAGCTCGTCGAAGCGCTCGACCGGCGCCGTCTCTGCCGTGAGCTGCGGCATGCTGCGCGGCAGCTCGACCTCGACCGGGATGTCGGCGTACGATGCGAAGTCGATGCCGGAGGATCGGGCGGCGCCAAAGGCGGCGCGGAAGGCAGCCTCGTCCTCCGCCAGCCCCGCCTCGAAGTCCTCCCCCCCCTCGAGTCCCTGCCACTCCCACACCGCGCCGCCGCCGCGGCCGCCGTTGCTGTCGGGGTGCCACGGAGGCACCCCCCGCCCGCCGGCGCGGGAGGCGGCCGCGGCGCGTGCGACAGGGTCCGGGTTGAGCGTGTTGCACTTGAAGCACCGCGCCTTGGACGCAAACACGTTCGCGCCGCAGCTCGGGCAAGTCCAGTCGCCGGGCTTGGTGGTCCCGCCCTGCGACTGCCGCCGCACGTCGCGCCGGTCGCGAGACGCGGCGCCGCCGCGGTGGCTGTCGTAGCCGCTGGCCCTGCGCTCGCGGAAGCCGCCCTCCCGGTAGCCGCCGCCGTCCCGGTAGCCGCCGCCACCCTCACGGCGATAGCCGCCGCCGTAGCCGCCCGCCGTGCGCTCTCGCACGCGATAGCTGCTGCTGCTGCTGCTGTAGCGGCTGTCTCCCGGCTCCTTCCCATCGTAAGTCCAGGACTCGGCGGCGGCGATGGCTGAACGGCGCGGCCCGATCCGGTGTGCGCGCAGCAGGCTCTTGCTCTGCACCCAGCTGGAGAGCAGCCCACTGCTTTGCCACGCGAGGAGGAGAATGCAGCTCGACGACATGCCTCCACAGGACCGTGCACGCTGGAGCTGCAGAGCTGGAGGGAAAGAATTCGGTCGGGGCGGTCACCGCGGTGAACTTCGGCATGCTGAGCCACTCTTCCTTTGATTACGTTTACGATCTGTGAGTCAGTGAGAGTTCCGATCCGACGGTGTTCGGCGTCCGGACCACGCGAGGGGGGCGACGTGTTATTAACTCATTAATTATAACGTACGTAAAGTACTTCTCCTTGTGATGCGACATGCGTGCGTACCTCGCTTGAAACCCGCTTGTCGTGTCACGAGTCGCCCGTAATACGCGCGATCCGGACGCGCGTGTGTTTCAAGCCGCGTCCGTCGCGACGACGCCGCGGTCCGACACTGTGGAGAAGCGTTTAGAGCCGGCCGAACCGCGAACCGCCCATTTGAGTAGTCAAGCGGATGCGGGCGTGCTAGGCGGCCACGCCTCGACCTTCTTGGGCAGCAGCTGGTTCGACACGTCCTCTCCGTGGCCTAGGCAGCCGCGTTCACCCGTGCCGCAGGTAAAGACGGCGCCGTCGGCAGAGATTGCGAGGCTGTGGCTGCATCCAGCCGAGACAGCGACGACGCGCCGCCCAGCAAAGGCCTCGACCTTCTTGGGCAGCAGCTTGTTCTGCTCGTCGCCGTGGCCCAGCCTGCCATCGACTCCCCTGCCCCAGCTCCAGACACCTCCGTCGGTGGTGAGGGCGAGGCTGTGGAATAGTCCAGCCGACACAGCGACGACGCGCCGCCCCGCAAACGCCTCGACCTTCTTGGGCAGCAGCAGCTGCTGCAGGTCGCCGTGGCCCAACTGGCCATATTCTCCACGGCCCCGCTCCAGACACTGCCGTCAGCGGTGAAGACGAGGCTATGTTCTCCAGCCGACACAGCGACGACGCGCCGCCCAGCAAAGGCCTCGATCTTCTTCGGCATATGCTGGTCATGCTTGTCGCCGTGGCCCAACTGGCCACAGGCTCCATAGCCCCAGCTCCACACCGCGCCGTCAGCGGTGATGACGAGGCTGTTCGCGGATCCAGCCGACACAGCGACGACGTGCTGCCCAGCCAAGGCCTCAACCTGCTTGGGCAGCAGCTGCTCCTCCTCGTCGCCGTGGCCCAACCGGCCAAAGTTTCCTTCGCCCCAGCTCCAGACGGCTCCGTCGGCGGTGAGGGCGAGGCTGTGGTTGATTCCAGCCGCCACAGCGATGACGCGCTGGCCAGCGAAGGCCTCGACCTTCTTGGGCATCAGCAGGTCCTCCTCGTCGCCGTGGCCCAACCGGCCATAGGTTCCATCGCCCCAGCTCCAGACGGCGCCGCCGGCGGTGAGGGCAAGGCTGTGGTCGCCTCCAGCCGAAACACTCACGGCGCGCTCGCCGCCCAGCGTCGACGGGAGGCGGGTCGGCGTGTTGCGCCGTGTCACGCCCTCGCCCTGCCCGAGGAGGCCTGGGCTCCAAGGCTCAGCCGCTCCGCACGACGAGAGCCGCCCCTCGCCGTCGATGAAGACGCTGTGCCATGGGCCTGCCGCCGCCCTCGCCGGCGGGTTGGACTCGCACAGCAGCGCAGCGAAGCACAGCCACCGCACGGCGCAGCCCTCGTCCTCCGGCTGCGCCGGCAGCTCGAAGCCGCGCTCTTGCGCCCACAAGCGGATGCCCTGCACCGCGAGCGAGGCGTGAAAGAGAAGCGAGACGGCCGCGACGCGAGCGATGTCGATGGGGCATTCGAAGCGAGAGAGGGCGCGCACGAGGAGCTCCGTGGGGAGGTCGAGGAGGCGGGCGGGTGGTGGCGTGATTGGCGAGGGCGCGGCGGTGGCGACGGCGGCGAGGCGGCGCGAGCGGCGCGAGCGGCGCGGCAGGGTGGACATCGCGAGGAAAAGAATTACGCCGATCAGAAGAAATACACGTCCGGAGCAACATTCCTAAGAGGGGGAACACAGTTTCGGTAGCCCCCAAGAGCTGTCGAAAAGTCTACTCAGAGCGGTGGTTGAGGCCGATTGCCTCAGCGGAGGCGAGGGCGAGGGCGGCGGAGGCGAGGGCGAGGGCGGCGGCGGCGACGGCGACGGCGACGGCTCGGGGTGCGCTCGCCTGTTGCGACGGCTGCTCCCCCCTCGCCGCCGCCCCGTCTCCTTGCCTCCTCTTCTCACGGACCACAGGGGCTGCACAACAAAAGCACACAAACACCCCCTGCCCCTGCATGGCGTGGCACAGGCGCGTCCTCATCCCCTCCTCCGCTTCTCCTTCCACCCGCTCCGAAATCCGTTCCAGGATGGCGCTAACCACCCCTTCAGCCACTTTCGTAGCCGCAGGTCCGTCTTCCGGCTTCACGTGGAACAGTGTGCGAAATTTACCGCCGCACCCATGACAGGCGGCTAGCGTAGGGAAGCGCTCCGTCCCGAGCGACTCGAGAGGGATCCCCACCGCTTGCCAGTGGCGCGTCACCTGTATCGCCCGCTGCTTGGCCACCCGAGCCACCATCCTCAGGGCGCCTCCCTCCATCCCGAGCAGCGCCCCCGCCATCTCCGCCTCCGCCATTCCCACTAGTCGCAGGAATCGGGGGAGGGCGGCCGGAACCGCTCCGTCGGGGACGGCTTCCTCCGAGGCCTCTCCCGTGCGCACTTGGAGCACTTGGAGTGCAGTTATCAACCTCACGAAAAGAAAGAAAAGAAAGAAGTCAGACACGCCAAACGAGGGATGGGACGAGGACAGGGTCCCACCTGCACGAGCAGGATTTTGGTATCGTCCTCACATGGGCGAAAAATTCTTTTTCTCACCAAGTCCTAGGTCCTTGTACCTACCCGGCCGCCCAGGCCGCCCCCCGGCCCGGTGCGGCAGCAGCCGACGTTTTGCGCTTTCCTTCACCGCACAGGCTTCTGCACGCACACACGGCCCCTCCCACAATGCGCACGAGCGTCAACGACGAGGACAAGCAGCCTCACGGCCATCAGTCGTCGGGCTGGTCGCGCTGGCGACTGCTTCGTTGGTCACTCGCCGTGCTAATCTTGGCGCTGCTCTTCTTCTTCCTCTGCGGCGTCGTCATCCCGTTGCTCCTGTGGTCGCGCGTCAACTTCTGCGCTGTCGAGGCGTGCTCGGCCACGGCAGAGACGACGGGGTACTTTACGCTGCCCGAAGGGAGGGTTGGCTTGGAGCTGTGCGGCCTGCTGGCGGAGCAGAGCGTGCGTAGCGACGGCGTCGTCTACGCCGACCTCACCCTGCTCCTCTTCAACCCGTCCCTCGTCCCGTTTGTCGCGCGCGACGTCTCCGGCGTCGGCCTCGAGCCGGCGCAGCTCGCCTCCTTTGGCAGCCCAGCGGAAACAGCCGCCGGCTCTCTGGCTCGCGGCGCGGCCGGCGCGTGCACCGCTTCCGGCCCCCTTCTCCTACCGGCGCTGAGCTGGTCGTCGCACACGGTGCGCTGCACGGTGGCCGTCGGCGATGCGGCGGCGAGGATGATCTCCGCGTACGCCTCCGAGAGCGAGGTGTCTGTCGGCGTGCGCGCCAGGGCGGTCGTGGCGCCAGCCTTTGCGCCGGGCCTGGTCATGAATGAATGTTGGGCCGTCAATGGATGATGAGTTGCTATCAGGCGCCAGCCTTTGCGCCGGGCCTCGCGCTGACGCAGCGCACGTCCGCAAGCAACGAGGCCCCTCCTCCCGCGCACTCCCTCCCTCCCTCTCTCTCTCCTTCTCTCCTTCTCTCCTTCTCTCACCCACACCCCTCATTCTCTCACCACCAGCGCAACCCCTCGCCTGACCGTCGCGACGTCGCTGGTAGGTCCTCAAGCTCACGCGAGGCGCCAAAACCAGCCGCGCGGCCGCGGACGCGGCGGAAGCGGCGGCGGAGGTTGCGGCTGAGTGGGGCTGCCGCAAGTGCGGCGAGCTGACTTGCGCAGACCCGCGGCCGAAGGGCAAGGGGGTGCGGTGGAGCTCGACGACGGTGGACCGGAAGGGGGGCGCTTGCCCCTCCCTGCTCGACCTGCCCTCGCTGCGCGTGGACGAGGCGCGTTGCGTCGGCCGCACCTCGGCTGCACCTCGGCTGCACCTCGGCTGCACCTCGGCCGCACCTCGGCTGCACCTCGGCTGCACCTCGGCTGCACCTCGGCCGCACCTCGGCCGCACCTCGGCTGCACCTCGGCTGCACCTCGGCCGCACCTCGGCTGCACCTCGGCCGCACCTCGGCCGCACCTCGGCTGCACCTCGGCTGCACCTCGGCCGCACCTCGGCCGCACCTCGGCTGCACCTCGGCCGCACCTCGGCTGCACCTCGGCTGCACCTCGGCTGCACCTCGGCTGCACCTCGGCCGCACCTCGGCCGCACCTCGGCCGCACCTCGGCCGCACCTCGGCCGCACCTCGGCCGCACCTCGGCCGCACCTCGGCTGCACCTCGGCTGCACCTCGGCTGCACCTCGGCTGCACCTCGGCTGCACCTCGGCTGCACCTCGGCTGCACTTCCGGCTGCTCGGCAGGTGCGCTACGACGCCCTCGGCTGGGTCGGGCGCGGGCTGGTCGAGGAATGACGCGTCTTCTTGTGAACACGCCCCGCGCCTCGGCCGTCTCTTGCGGACGCCCTGCCGGAGCCTGCCGCTAGGTAACGCGGCTGCGTGGCGCGAGAAAGTGGACGGAGACGAGCAGCCATCACAGTGGCAGTCGCCAAGAGTAGGACCTCGGCTGCGCCACGCGGAGGAGGGGGAGAGGGAGAGGAAGAGGACGCAGTAGCGAGGGTGGTGAAGAGTAGGACCTCGATTGCGTGACGCTCGGCATCGGCAGCCCGCTCGCAAAGGGGGCGGGCACGGTGGGCGAGGCGGGGCTAGGCATCGGGCAGGCGGGCCAAGCACTGCCCCAAGCCACCAAGCACTGCCCCAAGCCACCAAGCACTGCCCCAAGCCACCAAGCACTGCCCCAAGCCACCAAACCAAGCACTGCCCCAAGCCACCAAGCACTGCCCCAAGCCACCAAGCACTGCCCCCAGCCACCAAGCACTGCCCCAAGCCACCAAGCACTGCCCCAAGCCACCAAGCACTGCCCCCAGCCACCAAGCACTGCCCCAAGCCACCAAGCACTGCCCCCAGCCACCAAGCACTGCCCCAAGCCACCAAGCACTGCCCCAAGCCACCAAGCACTGACCCAAGCCACCAAGCACTGCCCCAAGCCACCAAGCACCGGCCCAAGCCACACCAAGCACCGCCCCAAGCCACCTCGGACAGGCTCGGCTCTCTCTTCTTTCCTGTCTCTTCTTTCCTGTCTCTTCTCTCCTCTCTAGTCTCTGCCCTCCTCGCCCTTCTCTCTCCTTTCCTCTCTCTCCCCTCCCTCCTCTCGCTTCTTCTCTCTTCGCCAGTCTGTCTCCATCGGCCTTCTTTCCCTCGGACAGGCGGGGCTAGGCATTGGAATCGGCGGCTCTGAGGCCGCTGTCGGCGCTGGCGCCGCGGGGATCGACATCGCAAAAGGCGTCGGCGTCGGCCTGTTCGCGTGGGCCTCGCAGGCAGCGTACAGCCTAGACGCAGAGTATCCTTGCACCCCGACTCTCTGCGCTCCGCCGTCCTCCTCCGGTATGCGCAGCCCCTCGTGTGCCATGCGATGCTGCGTGCGATGCTGCCTAGCAGCTGCGCGCGTATTGGCGTCCTCCGGCTAGCACTTGCGACGACATTGCCTCATCTCTCCTCCGCCGCACTCCGCGGTATTCACGGTCTTCGTAGCCCGACGTACCCTCGCGAGGGCCTCAGCTGCGAGCACACGGCGCGAGACCGTACCCCCCCCCCCCCTCCCCCCTCTAACCTCGGCGCATGCGTGACGCAGGCGGCCCAGCCGAGGTCGAGGCCCGACGCGAGGCGGCGAGACCTCCTCGACTCGCTGCCACTGCCGCCGCCGCCGCCGTCGCCGCCGCCGCCGCTGCCGCCGCCGCCCCCGTCGCCACACCCGCCTCGCCCACCGCCGCCGCCGCTTCGCCCGCCGCCGCCCCGGCCCTCTGCCGGCTCCGTGCAAGTGAGCGCCGCGTCGTCGGAGCTGCTCTCGCTGGACGGGCTCGGCGGGCTCGGGCTGCAGGCGCTCTGCGCACCTCGGCTGCCCCTCGGCTGCACCTCGGCTGCCCCTCGGCTGCACCTGGCTGCACCTCGGCTGCACCTCGGCTGCACCTCGGCTGCCCCTCGGCTGCACCTCGGCTGCACCTCGGCTGCACCTCGGCCGCACCTCGGCTGCACCTCGGCTGCACCTCGGCTGCACCTCGGCTGCACCTCGGCTGCACCTCGGCGCATCTTAGCGCATGTCGACGCATGTCGGCGCAGCGCATGCCCGGCTGTATCTCGGCTGCACCTCGGCTACACTTCGGCTGTATCTCGGCGCATCGCACACCCCGGCCCCCTTGGCTTGCAGGTAATCCCGAGCTCGTGCTACGACCGCACCGCCACAAACTCGCACCCGATCTACGCGCTGCCACTCACGCTGCGGCTCTTCAACCCCACCATGCTGCACGCCACCCTCGAGAGCAACTCGCAGATCCTCGTCCGGCGGAGTAGAAGCGGGAGACGTCCCCTTGCTAGTCCGACTGGCACTCGAGGACGACGCGGCTTCGGCGGTATTCCGCTGTATCCCGCGCGGTGTTCGCTGTACTCGCACCCCTCGTACTCACGCGTGCTCTGAAGACACGGCGCGAGGCCGCATTCCCGCCCTGACGTCGGCGTATTCACACTGCAGTATTCACACTGCAGGTCCGGCGGGCTCAGCCCTCGTATTCACACCCCTCGTATTCACACTGCAGGTCCGGCGGGCGCAGCCGCGCGTAGCGGCCGAGGCGGCCGAGGCGGCTGCGGCGGCTGCGGCGGCTGCGGCGGTCGAGACGGTCGGCTCTGGCGAGGCCGGGAGTGCGGGTTTCAAGCCAGTGGCAGGGCTGGTTGGTGTCGGCTCGCTCGCCGCGCCCGTGCGCGTCGGGCCTCGCTCCTCGGCGACGGTGGCGCTGGTCGTCGACTTGCGCGGTCTGTTGCTCGACATGCGCGAGCTCAACGACGCGCTGGGCGAGCTGGAGGGCGAGGTCCTGTTGGTCGACACGCGCGTCCGTTTGTCGGCGCTGGGAGTCACACTCCGCCTCGACATCCCCGCGGCGGCCAACATCTCGCTGAGCAACATGCGCTAGCGACGTTGCGGGGCGCGGCGACGTGCGGCGGGAATCGCGCCATATACTCGAATCTCGTCCAATGCGTGTGATGGTGTGTGGGACAGACGTTGTTGTCCTATGCGCGGGGCTTCCGGCGGGGACCGAAGACGGAACCGCCGCCGCCGCCGTCCAATTCGCGTGTCGGGAGCGAGACCCGATTGTCGGCGGAGTTTATCGGCACACACGGTCACGGAGCCGGGAGGCTCCGGCTCACGACACATTGGGCTAAGGTAAGGTAAGGTAAGGTAAACTTCAGTGCACCCAGTCTCTCTGCGCAAAGTGCCCGCCGTTCTCCATGGCGCGCGTAGCTATGACAGGGACCGCGGCCGCGGACCCGGTGGCGGACGGGGCTGGCGCGCAAGCGCCGGCCACCGTCGTGCCGCCGGGGATGCGCAGCGGACCCTGGAATAGCTACGATAAGGCGCAACTGGAGGACGCGGTGGGTGTCGCAAGGTTGTTCGGTGCGTCCTGTGTCAGGGTGATAAGGCCTGGCTACGCGACCATCGAGGTCGACCTGAAGCACGAAAAGGCCGCGGGCGACCGCGAGTCGGTGAAGGCGGCGGAGCGCTCGTACATCGAGCGCACCGCGCCGAAGAAGAAGGAGCTCACAGATGAGCAGCTTGCGGCAAAGGCCGCGTCTCGCAAGGCCAAGAAGAACCGGCAGAAGGAGCGCCGGGCGAAGGAGGCTGGCGAGCGCGCGGCCGCGAGCGAGGCCGAGCGCGTGGAGCGCCCGCGCGCGCAGCTACGCGCGAACATCGAGTACGTGATGGACGGGCTACGGTCTGCAGCTGCGCGGGCGCGCAGCCAGGCCGGGTCCAAGACTCGGGTCACATATTCGCTGCCCCCAGAGAGGGACGACGGATATCGGCGCGGCCCTAGCGTGGTGTGCGCCACGGTCCCCCAGGGCACCGTGGCGACGACCGTCGCCTCGGACTGGCTCGCGAACGAGCTGGCCGAGCACGGAGAGATTGATGCGGCATGCCGCGACAAATATGTCATGCACCTGATGACGGCCGCCGGCGCCTCGGCGCCGGCCGACGCCGTGTTCAGGTTCACGGCTGGCGAGGCGATGCAGACCGAGGACGACGACGAGGACACCGGCTCCGAGGAGTATTCCGACGACAAGGCGTCCGACTAGCTGGCTTCACCCATATCTTACCCTCTGCCCCCCCCTCCTGCTACCCCCCAGGCTAGATGTAGTCACAGATAGCCCCACACAGCCCCTTACCCCTTCACCCTCGCCTCGCTGCTTGGTGTTTCTGAACACGTAGACGACCACGCTGTGGGGGTTGTGTTATAGGAGTAGGAGTGGGGTGCAGGTTGTGCTCACCCACGGCACCGGGCCGGTGCTTGCACTTTGAATGCCGTGGGGCTCCTGCCCGTGTCCGGGCGTGGAGATGCGAGGGTCGCCCCCCCTTGCCCCACCACTTTGTGTGTGTGGAGACGTTTACCTTACCTTACCTTAGGTAAACTTCTCCACACACACGAGGTGGTGGGGCAAGGGGGGGCAACCCTCGCGCTAGACGTGGGCTAAGGTAAGGTAAGGTACGCTCTAAGGTAAACTCTTCTCCACACACACGAGGTGGTGGGGCAAGGGGGGGCAACCCCCTCGCGTCTCCACGTCTAACGACAGGAGCCCCACGGCATTCAAAGTGCAATTTTTACATTGGGCTTTTGGCACTGTGAAGAGCGACCAAGAGAAATACCTTAGCTTCGCAAGATACCCCAAATTGACCCTATTCTGACTGGGTTGTAATAAAGTTTGAACCACACGCGCGGCGCGAGGCCTTGCGCCCCATCGCCAGTGGAAACCCGCACCCGCGCGCCCGCACCGTCGCTGTACGTCGTGCTCCACAGCCGCAGGGTCTGTTGCTCTCTGCCGAGCTCGCGCGGCGGTCCCGCCGGGCCCCGCGCCCTTGCCGCCCGGCCGTGGAGAGGCTCAGCGCAGCTCGATGCCGCGCTCCTCGCACACGGCCACCAGCTCTGGCGGCTTGTTCGTGCTGCCCACCCAGAGCATCTGCACGCGAGGGGAGGCGCGATGGGCATTCGGCGGGGGAGGGGCGTGTGGCGAGGGGTGGCGTCTCGCGCCTTCAAGCTCGGGGCGGCCCCCTTCACGAACCAGCCATCCTTGAGGGCGGCGGCCAGCGCCTTGAAGCCCTCGTCGCCAATCTTGTTGCCGCTGAGCTGGAGCACCTTGAGCCGCGGCGCTGCCCCGCTCGCAAGGACCTCCGCCACAGCTGCGCCGCCTCTGCGTCGCCCCAGCCGAGGCCGCCGTAGTTCAGACTGGTCGCCTCGCCAAACTGCTCCTGGAAGGCGGCCTCGTACAGCCGCTTCACGAGCGGCTTGTCGTCCTTGCCGTTGGTGAAGCTCTTCGTCTCCAGCTCCGCCGCGATGGAACGCAGACGGCAGCAGCGGAGGGCGCCGGCCACCGTCCTGGATGCAGTCGAGGATGAATCTGTCGCGGTCGTACTCCTCGCCGTCGCGCATCTTGCCGAGGTCGAGCGAGAGGACGCTGGACTTGGTGAGGCTGGCCCAGCTCTGCTCAGTGAAGCACCAGCCGCGGTCAAAGTACGCAGCCACGTTGGTGCCCTCGGCCTGGTCCTCCGCCTTGTGGCCGTCCGGGAAGGAGGTCAGCCGCAGCACCCAAGTGCGCGGGTGGGAGTAGAGCGTGCCGAGGCAGCGCAGCCCCTGCTTGAAGAGCGCGTTCTGCTCGTCGGTGCGCATGCCGTTGGGGGGGTCGGGGTGCTGGTGCAGCGAACCGAAGTCCCAAAAGACGCCGAGCCGCGGGATGAGGTCGGGACGGCTGAGCAGGGCCTTGAGCGCCCTCGCGACGCGGGCGAGGTTGGCTCCGCGCGGGTCGGGGTGGTCCTTGGTCAGCCACGGGTAGGAGAGCGCTCCGACGGGAAGGCAGCCACGTAACACCATCACTCCCTGTGCTCGCCGCCATTGATTGATAGGCTGAAGAAGGCGATGGAGGCGCTCAAGAAGGGGTTCGGGTACTACGGACTGATCCTGTATCAAAGGATGCGACAAGTTGTATGGCGATAAATCGGAGGGATCCGGAAAGAAGATGACGTGTGTGTGTGCGCCTTGATTGGCATCCGCCGCGTGAACTCCCGTAGAAGCTCGCGAAGAGCGGATTTGGAGCGCCGCGCCGGACAGCAGTGTTCACCCTCGGTCCAGGTGATAGCCCTGGATGGGCAATGCATTCGCCTACTTGGGCCTCAGATCGCCCGACCGCGTCCCGGTGCTCTGTGGTCGGATTTGTGACGCCGCCGCACCGCGCCGCGGCCGGGGGCCCTCCGGAGGACGAGGATGGCCGTGACGGACCGGGACGAGCTCTGGGAGGTTCAGTGTCAGTGAGTATATTGTAGAGGCCACCCATGTGCACAATATCTTGAATGAGAGCTAAGCCAGGGGAGGCGATGCCGGGGCCGTACAGCAGCTTGATGGTGCTTCGCCGGCGTAGAAGCGGCCGCGGAGGGCTCCGGGTGTCTGAAAAAGACGGATTTACGTGGGCTGTGGGAGATATACTGTCGACTCAAACGACACTGTGGCGTAATCCTCTCATATATGGCTAAATATTTACCGAGCCGTTTTAAGTTCCACTGCTACGACTGGAGATATATCGAGATTTGGTCCTCAGGACCCTTATGAAGCAAAAGGGTTAACGTTTGACAACCCTACTCGAGGTCAAGACAACAGTCAGTCTAATTCCATCCTGCGCCGTCTAATTCCCCCTTCCCCCTGCGCCGTCTCCGCTCTCAGAGCACACTCACATCCTGAGCTCGAACCCTACCCGCCCGCTCACCGCATCTCGAATCACTCCCTCCCCCTCGTCGCCCAAACCGTTGGCGCAAAGATCGAGGGTGGTCAGCACCCCGTTGCCGCGCAGCGCCTCGCCGATCGCCGTGGCGCCCTCGTCCCCGATGTGGTTACCGCGGAGGTTGAGCTCTTTCAGCACCTCGTTGCCCGCAATCAACGACGCGATCACGATGGCTGAGGCGCGTCCGAGGTCGTTGCTCGAGAGGTCGAGGGACTCGACCGGGTCGGTGCCGCGCAGCTCCGGCAGGTCAAGCTCGTCGCCGTCGAGCTCCAGCTTGGTCAGCACCCCGTTGACGCGCAGAGCGGATGCCAGCGCCTTGGCGCCCTCGTCGCCGATCTGGTTGTAGTAGAGGTTCAGGTTGGTCAGCACCCCGTTGCCGCGCAGCGCCTCGGCGATCGCAGCGGCGCCCTCGTTGCGGATCTGGTTTTCGCGGAGGTTGAGGTCGGTCAGCACCGCGTTGACTCGAAGAGCGGATGCCAGCGCCTTGGCGCCCTCGACGCCGATGATGTTGTCGAAGAGGTTCAGGTTGGTCAGCACCTTGTTATCCTTGAGGGCCTCTGCAAGCGATGTGATGCCAGCGGCCGAGTAGGTACCCCGGCCCGAGTCATCAAGACCGCACAGCCTGTTGCTGCTAAGGTTCAAACTGGTCAGCACCCCGTTGACGGCGAGCGCCTTGCCGATCGCGACGCCACCCTCGGGGCCGATCTTGTTGTAGTAGAGGTTCAAGTCGGTCACCACCCCGTTGACGCGCAGAGCGGAGGCCAGCGCCTTGGCGCCCTCGTCGCCGATCTCGTTCCAGCCGAGGTGCAGGTTGGTCAATACCGCGTTGCCGCGCAGCGCCTCGGCGATCGCGGCGGCGCCCTCGTAGCAGATCTTGTTGTTGCAGAGGTTGAGGTTGGTCACCGCGTTGACGCGAAGAGCGGATGCTAGCGCCTTGGCACCCTCGTCGCCGACGTTGTTCTCGCAAAAGACGAGCTCGGTCAGCACCCCGTTGCCGCGCAGCGCCTCGGCGATTGCGGCGGCGCCCTCGTCGCCCATCTCGTTCGACGTGAGGGAGAGGGATTTCAGCACCTCGTTGCCCCGTAGCGCCTCAGCGATCGCAGCGGCGCCCTCTGAGCCAATCTCGTTGTAGCCGATCTTGAGAGTTTTCAGCACCCCGTTGACGCGAAGAGCGGATGCTAGCGCCTTGGCGCCCTCGTCGCGGATGTTGCAGGCCTGGAGGTCCAACTTGGTCAATACCCCGTTGATCTCGAGCGCCTTGGCGATCGCAAGTACGCCCGTCTGCACTACGTCGACCAGCTTCAGGTCGCCGTCAGAGTCCACGCCCGTGCTCACGACCATCTCGCGCCCCTCGTAGATCACCTTAGCCCCGACCTCCTTGGACTCGCCCTCGACCTCGCTCGCCTTGATCCAGCCGGACTCCCCGCGGATGTTGTTAAGGGACAGATCGAGTTTGGTCAGGACCGCACTGCCCGACACGTACTCGGCGATCTCTGCGGCGCCAGTTGGGCCGATGCTGCAGCCAGCCAAGCCCAGCGAGGTGAGCTTGTTGCGCTGCCTCTCGATGCGCACAATGCTGAGGGCCGCCTCCTCGGTGAGGTCGTTCAAGCCCAGATCCAAGGAGGTCAATACCCCGTTGACGGGCAGAGCGGAGGCCAGTGCCACGGCGCCCGCGTCGTCGATGCCGTTGCGGGCGAGGTTAAGCTCGGTCAGCACCCCGTTGACCTCGAGGGCCTTGGCGATCGCGAGTACGCCCGTCTGCACGTCGACCAGCTTCAGGATATCTTCGGAGTTCACGCCCACGCTCACAACCATCTCGCGCCCCTGGTAGATCACCTTAGCCCCGACCTCCTTGGACTCGCCCTCGACCTCGCTCGCCTGGACCCAGCCGGTCTCGCCGCCGATCTTGTTGTCCGCCAGGTTCAGGTCGGTCAGCACCACATTGCCCGCAACCAGCGACGCGATCACAATGGCCGAGGCGGGGCCGAGGTGCTTGCCCGAGAGGTCGAGGGATGCCACCGGGTCGGTGCCGCGCAGCTGTGGCAGGTCGAGCTGGTGGCCGTCGAGGCTGAGTGTTTTCAGCACCCCGTTGCCGCGCAGCGCCTCGGCGATTGCGGCGGCGCCCTCGGCGCGGATGTTGATGCTGTCGAGCCAGAGGTTGGTGAGCACCCCGTTGCCACGCAGAGCCGCGCCGATCGCCTTTGCGCCCTCGTCGCCGATGTAGTTGCGGGAGAGATCGAGCGTTTTCAGCACCTCGTTGCCCGCAATCAGCGACGCAATCACGATGGCCGAGGCGGGCCCGAGGCCCTCGTCTGACTCTGAGAGGTCGAGGGATGTCGCCGGGTCGGTGCCGCGCAACTTTGGCAGGTCGAGCGCGCTGCCGTCGAGGTTAAGCTTGGTCAGCAGCTTGTTGCGCGTAACCAGCGATCCGATCACGATGGCCGAGGCGGGCCCGAGCCCCTTGCCTGAGAGGTCGAGGGATGTCACCGAGTCGGTGCCGCGCAGGTCAAGCTCGTGGCCGTCGAGGTTCAGCTTGGTCAGCACCTCATTGACCGAAAGCCCCGCCGCGATGACGGCAGCCGATGCGGGCCCGAGTTTCTCGTTCGATAAGTTGAGCGACAGCACCGCCTCGCGCCCGTTGAGCTGCAGCGGGTTGAGCGGCATCGCCCCCTCCTCGCCCATGCTCAGCACGATGAGCGTGCGCGTCGTCCGCACCACGCCGAGCAGCGCCTCCCGCACGCGACCGCACGCCTTGTCCCAGTCAAGCGTCAGCGACGTCAGCGCCGACGGCTCCGATTCCATCCACGCGACCACTGTTCCCACCATCACACCATCGTCGCCAAGGTCGTACCCCGTCAAATCGACACCACTGGCCTGCAGCGGCAATACCGCATCCATCGCCGCGGCAAGCCCGCCGCCGCTGTGCTGCATCGTCGCCGCGAGCATCACCAAGCGCTTCACCTTGAGCGCGTCGCCCACCGCCGCTTGGAAGTGCACGTCAGAGTTGTACGCCTCAGCCTCGTCGCCGAGCGGCGCCTCGAGCCGCTTGTCCGCCGCGCCCCCCGCATCCGCGCATCGATCGAGGCCGAGCCGGATGCGCACTAGTTGCGACGCCTCCTCCGCCTCCTCCTCCGCCACCCCCCGGCGCACCTCCGCCGCCATCTGCGCGCCCATGTCGGTGAGCAGCTTCTTGCGCTTGCCCGCCACCTGCTCGAGCGTGAGCGAGGCCATGTTGATGGAGAAGCTGCACTGGACGACGAGCGTGCTGCCCTCCACGCCCGTCGAAAGCACCTGCAGGCCCATGAGCGGCGGCAGCAGCGTCTCCTTCTCGTGTGGGTACTGCGAGAGCCACGTGATGTCGGCGCCGCGGTCGATCATGCCCATCACGAGCTGGAGCACCGTCGACGCCTTGCCCTCCGCGTAGTGCACCGCCTGCGCGCGGTCGGTGGTGGTCGACGAGAAGCCGTACTCGACGCCGCCGCGGAAGCCGAGTGCGTCCGGCGTGAAGAAGCCTTCCGGGAGCGTGGCGCCCGTCCAGCCGCGGAAGAGTGGCGTGATCCTGGTCAGCTTTGACAGCTTGACAATGATCGAGTTGATCGCGTGGATGGTGGTCGAGTACTGGTTGTGCCACGTCCAGCGCACTGCGCCCGAGGGCTCGCCTTTGCCCGCCGCCGTCGCAGCCCACTCACCGAGGTGAAGCCAGCCGCACTTCTTCTGCAGAAAGGGCACCTGCTCCATCGAGGCGTACACCAGCAGCACCGCGCCGTCGGCACCGCGCGCTGAGGAGAAGCGGAGGACGCCGTTGTACTTCTCGTACATCGGTCCCGTGTACAGCCGGCCAGCGATGAGCTCCTCCAACGTGAGCGGCGCCTGCCCCGCCTTCTCGAGCTTCGGGTTCATCTCGTCCGCCATCTTCTTCTCGTAGACCAAGAGCGGCTCCGGCTTGCGGCACCACTCGCGGTGAGCCGTGCGGAAGTCGCCGCCACGCTCCGCGTAGCGGCCATCCTGGTCCTCGACCGGCGCGACGACAAACTCCCACTCGAGCTTGGAGGTCGCGCCCTCGATGCCGTTGGAAGTGGCGAACGGCACGTCCGCGTCCTTCTCTGCGCAGTGCTCCGTCTCCATGGCCTTGAAGAGCGAGCTGTCCACCATGAGCGGCGGCCCGATGAGCTTCTCGAGGCCTGCTCACAGGTCAAGGGCCGGGGATCGGCCGGTGAGAGAGCGCGGGTAGGGTGAAACAACTACTGTCGTGCAGCACGCCTCCGTAGAACTGCTCAAGGCCGCCGAAGCCCATCTCACCCTTGAACGCGTCGCCCTCCGCGGCGAACTTGGCGTTCAGCGCCGCCCCGGTCGCGGCGCTTTGACCGCGCAGCTTCTCAATGGCGGACCAGAGGGGCGCAGCGAGTCCAGTCAGCTTCACCGCCTCGAGCTTGCTCTCGAGGTCGGCGAGCGAGAGGCTGAGCACGTACTTAAACGGGTCGGTGCCGGCCGGCTCCTTAAGCGCCTCGGCCACCACCTCGTTGAGGGCGAGGGAGTCCACCCAGCCGGCGACGCCCCACTCCGAGGCGGGCTGTGCGTCGACCTGATAGGAGGAGAGAGGGAGGGGGTAAGGCGGTGGGGAGGGTGGCGCGGCGGCGGGAAAAGAGGGAGGCAGACGCGGACGCGGCGGCGGAGGAGAGGGAGGCGGCGGCGGACGCGGCGGCGGTGTGTGGGTGGGGGCGGTGGCGGTGGCGAAGGCGGCGGTGCGGGGAATGCGTCGGCCTTGCCGTCGCGCGAAGGGGCGGTCGCGCTCGGCGTGCCGACGTTGTGGAGCTGGTCCGTGAGTGACTGGTTCTCGTCCTTGAGCGACTGGGTCTCGTTTTTGGGCGACTGGTTCTCGCCCTGCTTGAGCGACTGGTTCTCGTCCTTGAGCGACTGGATCTCGTCCCTGAGCTTGCGCAGCTCCGTCTCGTTGTTCTTGGAGGCGGTGCAGCCCACTTGCGCATCTCCTGCACCGGGGAGAGCGCGACCGTGAGTAGGCATCGGATGGCGCCAGGGCGCGCGAGAGAGAGCCCTACCAACAGCAGCGGCAGGGGCGGCAACACGGAGCGCGTGGAACGGGGCGGTGGTAGAGGCGGTGCTGGTGGGTGGCGGGTGGCGAAGGCAGCTGGGGTGACCTGCTGTGTCGTCCTGGGGACCATCCTCTTCCTCTGCGGCCGCGGCCTGGGTCTCCGCGCGTGGCTCGACGTCGATGTCGGTCCCACCGCTGCCCGTGAGGGGCGGGTACGGCAGCGACAGTGGCGGGGGCGGTGGGGGCGGCGGGGGCACGCGCACGGCCACCGTCGCCGCCGCAAACGAGGCCGCCCCCGCCGTCGGCGCCGTGATCACCGGCGCGATCGAAGCCGCCCCCGCATCGAGGTCGTCCTTGAGCGACTGGTTCTCGTCCTGGAGCGACTGGATCTCGTCCTGCTTGAGCGACTGGATCTCGTCCTTGAGAGACTGGATCTCGTCCTTGAGCGACTGGTTCATCTCCCTGAGCTTGCGCAGCTCCGTCTCGTTGTTCTCGGCGGTGCAACCCACTTGCGCGTCTGCACCGGGGAGAGCGCGACCGTGAGTAGGCATCGGATGGCGCCAGGGCGCGCGAGAGAGAGCCCTACCAACAGCAGCGGCAGGGGCGGCAACACGGAGCGCGTGGAACGAGGCAGTGGTAGAGGCGGTGCTGGCGCATGGCGGGTGGCGAAGGCAGCTGGATGACCTGCTGTGTCGTCCTGGCGACCATCCTCTTCCTCTGCGGCCGCGGCGGAGAGATCAGCCGCTCTCGCTCCCCGAGGCTTGCCCCAAGCAAGAGCTCGAGCGAGAACGGAGGTTGCGGTAGCGCCGCTCTTCGGCATCACGTACTACTCCTTGGTCGTCGGCCTCCACAGAGGTGGCGGCAGCAATGTGCTCAACAGCGGCTCTGCTCAACAGCGGCTCTGCTCAACAGCGGCTCCCTCACACGCTTGGGCTCCGGCGGCGATCGATGACTGTCACGCTCGAGAAGAATTCTTAAGATACAAGCCTCTCTCACAGCTCGAGAAGAATTTTACGATCAAACTCCCTCGCACGAAACTAGGCACGGGACTGGCGCGCACTGGCACTAACACGGGTACATCAAGAAGAAAGAGTGTTAGAGTTGTTTGGTATTGCTAAAAATCTCTCTCGCCCCTCCCATTCCCCTGAGTGCGGATACACACACACATGTTAGTATCTCCCTCCCTCCGGCGATTATAAAAAAAAATTGCTTTAGCTAAAAGAACGGGCACGCATAGTCTCCCCCCTCCATTCTCTCCCCCTTGGCGCTCCGTGTAACGCGTACTAGTGTA